AATGTGGCAAGATTGACAAGGCTAACATTTGTTTTTATCGCAATGATTTATGTTTGCAATAATTTCAATTCGCAATGAAGCTGTAGCCTAGAACTCAACGTCGAGCGTTGTGGTGAATTAGAGCCGTTGGCAGATTCTTCAATCAAAAATCACATTGCAGGATCGAAATGTTTTAATGCTTTTCAACTTATAATATGAACGAACACATGACCGTCTCGATTTGTTCGTGGTTGACTCAGTAGTATATAGATTTCCCTTTCACTTTATAAACTTCAAAGATCCAACCACATACTAATACAGACACTATTGTATTCCTAACAAGCGTAGTATAGCATAGAAATGAAATAAAACCTTTATTATCTTTTTATCATTTATTGAACTTCTATGCTATGACAGCGTTGCGATCGATTTCGAGTTCAAGATTGTTTATATACCGATACACTGATAAATTTTGTCGAAGTACACAATAAACTGTCCTAATATCTTTGGATTTCCATTGACTAACCAAATTATATGACTTTTGCTATGTTTTTTTAACTGCATTACCTGCGCTAAATATGCGATCAAATATTTAGCGCAGGCGACAACACGTCAGACTATACAAAGCCATCCAATTTCACCATTTGATTTTAAATCTTACTTCATACATGTTAGAGTTCAGAATCAATTGCGGATGTTTGGCATATTGTAGTAACTTGACGTACAATCGACTGCCGTTCATATATCCGATGATAAATTATTAATTTAAATTCTTAGGGTGTACATTGTTTTACTTCGGCGAACTTTATCTGTGCCATTTGTCTAAATATTTTTTATGTTGTTTTTTGTTTTTAACTATCGTAATCACTACACAGTATAAAACAAAGTCGCTATCTGTCCCTATATCCATATGTATGCTTAAATCTTTAAAACTACGCAACAGATTTTGATGCGGTTTTTTCATAGATAGGGTGATTCAAAAGGAAGATTTTTATGTATAATACAAGACCATGCGGGCGAAGTCGCTGGCGGAAAGCTAGTGTTTCATAAACTTGTAATCTACCCTAATACCGAATCTCCGTTTATTTCCAACGTATATTCCCTAGGGAATACTGTAGTAGTGGGATTTGAAATTTGACACCAAACGAGGAGCGAAGCGGTGGAGAAAAATTTGCCAGTAATTTAATTTTCAAAAAATATAGATTATGGAATAACGTTATTCATAATTTAGATAGCTGGTGAATTCAATGGCGGAGCGATTAAGGTACTTAGCCTGCAATTTCAGAGAAGAATCAATTTTCGCCAATATCATTTCTTAGATGGGTGACCAAATTTCTTCTGCAAATTAAAATCTGCAGTAGTTATTACCCACTTTTCCACATTAGGTGAGTTATGGCCCGTTCCCCTTTGATTTTGTAATAGGCGTTAGACAGATTTTTAGGCTTACGACAATGATTAAGTTAGATTTTTCATCACCAGCCTCTTTAGATCCTATTGCTGGGGCTCAGGCTTACCCTATGGATTAACTCGAATCGAATAGGGAAAATGATCCATAACCCACCATGAGGGCCCAGAGTGGTTAGATAAGTGTAAATGGTTACAGATGCAGCCGGGACCAATGACTTAACGTGCCTTCCGAAGCACGGAGGAGGTCGAGATAATAAATTGATGGTCACCCATCCTATGATCGGCCCTTGTGAAAGCGGCTTACTTTCAACATCGCAGACCGAATTCGGTAACCACTTCGTCATCGAGCAACCAAGTTATTTATAATATTATTAAAATGGAAAGATTAAATAAAACGAAAACAGAACAGATTTCTTAGCCATTTGGGTATACCACTTTTGATTTACCTTATTTAAATCGAATAATCTAAATGAGAATTTAAATTATTATCAAATACTATAAACATTCTTTAATATGATAATATAATATATCCTCAAAGAGACAGGGGCAACATATAACACTGTCAAATATTAAATAAGCCCCTGTAAAGCAAGAGATAAAAACTCTTAGGCCGCCTGGGGATTACGGCGGATTATTATTTTAACGAAATTAGCTTACCATCGCCGAGGGACCCAACTGAGGGCGTCAAAGATTATCTACGAGTACCAAAGAAGAAGCGACACAGCTTACAATCTGTTTTACTAATTTGTAAAATCCTATTTATTCCAAAGAGAGTTTAATTTAAAAAATAAATCAGCACTCATTTTGTTTGGTTCCACACACCGTGACCACAAATTGTTTAAACACAATTGTTTCTTCTATAAGAACATATAAGAGACAATGAACGCCTTCTCTGAGAATTTTTTTTAAAACTAAATCTAAATTGATATTTTCTTGAAATGTTTTAATATTTTTATGACTGTTTATAGATATAATATAAAATTTATAGAAACACGGTCTTCGTAATTGAAAAATTATCATCATTATCACTGCGTCAAATTCCCAAAGCACAGGCCTTAAAAACGGAGTAAACATGTAATAAACTGGAATTTAGTGAGAAGAAGAAATAATATGTAACGAAAATTGTCTAATTAAACAAAATATTCATTGTATATTATTAGAATGTCAGTTTCATATCTACTCATTCGACATCTAATGTTACATAATCAAGAATTTGTACTTGGTAGTATGTTTATCAGCAAAGGTAGTCAAAAGTTGAATACTTGCGTATCTACTGTACACTCTGTGTAAAATAATAATATTATAATCACCACAAGATTTCATAGCACTCTACCAACACTGGGTTTATTAAAAGTATATTGCGAAAATTGCGCCCAAATGTGGCCCTGTCGTGTTTCGGTAACCAGCTTACTACACCCACCCAAAGGTGGTCTGCCTACCCTTACACATTATTTGAAAATGTAGTTCCTTAACCTTGGTTGAGGAAAAACCAGTTATGTTTTATCTACGTAACTGGGCTTCGCTTGCGGGAAAGCGGATCTTTTAGGCTGGTCATTACTCCGTATGTCTAATTTAAGAAGAGCCCTTTAACAGTTTTCTGCTGACGTAAAAGAAGGTCTACTTGGTCAGTTTTAAAGTATTCCCTTACACGCTAACTATGCAGAATGATCTGTAATCTTCGAGTTATAAGTTACAACGAGTACAAAGTGGGGTCGGTAATGAGGTGGTATAAAATGATGGTGCGATGACAGCTTGGCAAGAGAGGATTATGTGTATTTATTATTAATGGGTTATTGGAAATTGTATTTCTTATAGAAATAACTTTAATGAAAAAATTTGTGGAAATTACAATATGAACAACAATCGCTAGACTAAAATAATCTATAAAAATAGTATATTCAACTAGAGGTCTTAGAATTTATATTCAGGACTATCGCGTATGAGATATTTTCATGCAAGCAAGACCCTTCTTCATGTCATTATTCATACCCAAAGGACGAGCACGGTTCGTTGAAGGCAAGGAAACATTCAACAGCCCCGTGGTTTTATGCTTTATCTTTTATACAAAAGCCTTTGATTGCATTCAATGGGGTAATCTGTGGAATGTGCTACTAGAAATGGGAGCTCCTAAACATTTTGTTGGTTTGATCTAGAATCTGTACACTGAAAACTGTTCTTTCTTCAAGATAGGTACCGAATACTCCAATATATTCAAAACAAAAAAAGGAGTGAGATAAAGTTGCATATTGTCTCCTGCACTGTTCAATATTTTATAGAGAACACATTATTCGGAAGACTATTGAAAATTGGAGGAAGGGTTTCCGTATTGGTGGAAAGAGATTATCAAATCTCCGATATGCTGACGATAATGATAATGTTCCATGGGAGATATGAGCGAGCTATTCCAAAACCTTGAATTGGAAAGTGGCAATTGTGGTTTCACGGTGAGCAGAACAAAAACCAAGGTCATGATAGTAAATCGAGTTGGAAAACTTGTAGATGGCACCTGTGCCCTCGATATGGTCGACTGCTACTTGCATCTGGGATCACAGATCAGCAATGATGGTAGTTGTGTCCCCGAAGTAAAAAGGCGGATAGAGATGGTCAAGAATGCTATGACACGTCTTAATAACATCTGGAAGAAGAGGAATTAGTATCAAAACAAAAATCAGACTAATGCCAGTCTTTATATTCCCTATCTTCCTGTGGAGTGAAATCGTGGATAATCCTGGCCCGAGAAAGACAAAGGATTGATGCATTTGAGATGTGGTGCTGAGGGCGAATACTGAGAATACCTTGGACTGCGAAACGCACTAATGCATCGATATTGTATCGAATCAAAATTATAATTCGCCAATCCACCATATGTCAGCAGCTAAGCCTTGCATATTTTAAGCAGACAATGCGCAGAATCAATGATTTTAAACCTATTGATTACTTCTGTTAATAGGAAAGATTGAATTATAGCAATTTGATGTACTGCCTAGTTGTTGGTACAGGATTTCTTCCAGTTACAGTTTTATTGCGATTTTTCATTAAAAACAAGTTACTTGATATTATTCAATATCATTTTCTCAGGTCTGGTTTCAAAATCGTCGGGCAAAATGGAGGAAGGCAGAGAGGTTAAAAGAGGAGCAGAGAAAAAGGGAGGGCACAGAGGTGCTCACTAAACGGGATCCTGGTGATGACAAGGTATTGGTCTCTATTGAACAATCTTGCTATTGTAAAATCCACACACAGCATTCAAAGCAACTTTAGAAATAGCCGGTCATAAGATGAGTGACCAAAATTTTTCCACTCATGTGGGTCGTGGCCCATTCTCCCTATTCGATTCGATTCCATCCATATGGAAGGCCTGAGCCCCAGCAGCGGGGACATTCATTGGCTAATGATAGTTTACTTATATTTGTGTAAGTCACAAAGATACCTTTAAATTGTAATTTTATGTGCTTGTGCAGTCGATCTGATTATATCGAACGTTGAGTGCATTTGATTCTAGCCAATGCTAATAAAAAGTGGTAAAGCGGTAGGAGGGCAGATAGTCTACCGATATCTATAATCTTAAAGTGATTATCACCATCTTTTACAGTGATAATAATTCAATATTATTTCAGGGTTCTTCTGAGTGCGGTATGTCACGAGGTTCAGGAGAGGCGTCACCGGTGTCCGCCACCGCTGCTTCCCCACGTGCCTCCCCTCCTGTTACCCCTGGATCACCCAGAAGGTCACCGCTAAGATCACCCCGAAGATCACCGACAAGATCTCCTAGACTAGATAGGTAAAATTTGAATTATTAGCATGAGTAGCATGACAAGCTCGAGAAAAGCATTGTTTACACCAAAAGTCACTGTTTCTCGGGTCGAGAATGTGATATTGTGTGGTTACACCTCGAGGTAAGTGACATTTGGGTGTAGAGAAAACGTTTTTGAGTTCGTTATACTTGATGTCGGAGCCTGTGGGTGCATCCCAATTTGTATCTTATCTGCTGGATACTAAAATATCTGTATAAAAAATAGGACTAACAGAATTTTTTTCTTATCAGGTCTGATGCTAGTCCATCACCAGCACCTTCAGTTGGTAGTGCAGGCTCCAGAGAAGCTGCACCTGAACAGAGGCCTGGTCATCATTTGTTCTCACCGTTCGACCAGTAAGTTTTTATTTTGCCATTGTTGTGGTGACGATATCATAAAACAGACGCCAACGAGATCTATTGTGTTTGTATATTTATTGTATTCTAAAAACACTGACATTTTTAGAATTCCAACTTGTGAATATTCAAAAAAACAATAATTAAACGGTACAATCGGCGACATTATCATTAAAATGTAATTTCTTCCTGATAATAATCTTGGTAAAATAATTTAATAATTTGGTCGGCTACGTTACAGCAGCCGTGGTCTCCTCGTGACCACGGCTGCTGTAACGTAGCCGAAACGTCGAGGTAAATTAATTGTTTTAAAAAATGCATGAACAAGACCCGATTGCATATAATTATAATGTATACAAATCGTGTGAGTTTAAAAATATTATTGGTTTAAGGTGATCTCTGATCGAGATTTAGCGGACTATCATTCTGTTTCCACGTATTATTGATTTGTTAAAATATAATTACGAGAACCTTTTGATTAAATTCAAGTAAACTGGTACCACTCGTACAGGACGTCTTTTGGCTGATAAGAAGAACGATTAAGAAACTCACCAGCTCTATTAGGAGTAGTGACATTCACAAAAACCATGTCATCACCAGATTAATACATTATAATTAGAATGAAAAAAAAAGCTATGGTCTTAATGATAACATAATAATTTAATAATAATGGAAACAAGTTTTTTTATATATAATGAGTTTAGCACAAATCAGTTGCTGGACCATCTTAAGTCCAAGCATTCTTATTTGTTATATAATCGGATACCTTATAATAAGCTTTTTTAATAGTTTTTTTTAATTAAAAAATTAAACAATCTATTAGATTGTTAAACATCAATTGAATTCTAATTAATTTAAATTGATTATTTTTACTCGTTACGCTCTCGTATTATTTGGAATAACTGCTTAAATGAACTTTGATAGATGCGATTAATCAAATCAACCATTGATATTAATTTCATCAGAACATCGTCGTTCGATGTACCACAGTGAAACTCTTTATAGTATGACTGTTATACAACATTTATTCTTTTTTGTTTATAATGGATAAGAACAATAACCGTTGGATCTATTCTTAATAATATATATAAAGCTGGGGCGGATACGGATCTCAAAAAAGATTGGCCAACAAGCCAAATGAGAATCGGGTTATAAATATGCTCAAAATTGTGTATTCCTTTATATGATAAATAATAAATAGATATGTTTACCAAAATATATGACGACGTGACCAACATTTTGTATAGTTTAATAACTCTATTAGTATTTTGGGCATACCCATCGTGCCCATGACTATTAAATTAAACTGTTGAAAATACGACAAACTAAACCGATTCTAAATTGAATATAATCGTAATGTCCACTTACACTATGTTGCCAGTGATGAGATGAGAGACTGACAATTACTTCGTTAGCATGCGACTCACTAATCAACTGTAATTACATTGCGCCCGCGCACTACCACGCGACTTGATGGGGTTAAAGCGGATCATTGGAACGCTTATGATTCTGGGAATAATATCATGTCATGCGCACTGAGAACATATTGAAGACGCACTGGAAATTATTTGTAGCGTCCAATTATTTTGTTTGTAAAGTTCATTCATTACAAAGGAAATGTTCAAATATGTAATTAGTTTCAGTCAACTCCATATCTATAACATAAGTATGCAGTAATAAATCGATAGCCCAGTTAATGAGAGAGATGTAGACATAAAAGTATAGATGATGGCATATTTCACGAAATAGACCGAAGATTTTTTTTTTAAATACAACCGCCTTCAAACTACTCAAATGTGAGAAATAATATTGATTTTAAAATCGCTTCAACTATTCAAAAACTTGCTGCGCTCACAGACTCACTCGATTTGAACAAAAAAGTTACTTTTTAATAATAGTTATACGGTTAAACTTAAAACTTTGTTTTTTGAAGTCCGTTATACCTACTCCTGAGTGTGACAAATGCTTTACTGAAAACTACATCGAAGTTGCTTCAACTAAACACGAGATTATCGCCGACAAAGATACAAACTTACGTAGGAGATATAGAGAACCACCTCTTTTTTTATTAGGTTAAAAATAATTATATAAAATCAATTAGACACTCGTTGTGGTCGTTAGGCATTTTCAACAAATTACTTCGCCGTTAGCAATAAATAGCATGAAATTCGAACAAATTCTTCAACTATACCGCTTTCAATGAAACTTTATGATGAAGTGCACTGTGTCTGCAGTCTGCACGCACGCACGCAACGCACGCACGCAACGCATGCACGACACGCTCGCCGTGCGGACGCCGAAGTAATGTGTCCACGTCAACAGCATCTGCATTTTGAATAGAAGTTTGAAGGTTTTGAAATAACGTTGCGAAGTAAAATAAAATTGGTAGCTCTTTGATAATGCGTGCAGTTAGTACGGTTGTGTGTACAAATAGTGGACGGTGTGCTTTATAAATTCATATGAAGTTATGAAAAATCCGTTGTGTACCACGTGTCCATTGCATACGTGCGGACACGGTGGACGTTCACCTAAAATAACTCGGGTAGAGATATTTAATTTTTATTTAAGCTCCTTTGTATCAGAAAAGTCTATAACTTGAATGTGTGTTCCAATTAAATAAGAACTGTAGTTTAAAAGATAAGGGCACATGAAAATAATTGTTGATTTTTCACTACGCTATGACAAACTATCATAAAAACAAACAAGCGGATAATTTTACAGGCCACACACTATACCATGGAATAGTAATTACATTTTCAACACTGTGTTGTTCATGGTAAGGTGAATTTCTACTTGTATGCGCCTGCGCAGCATTCAATAACGTTAGTGTCGATGCGGTAGAGCAATCTAATTGTTGAGGTCGTTTGAATTGATTTTAATTAGGACTGAGGATTGCGTCGTTAGGAAAAAATGTTTACTACTAATAAGTACTGACTTTTAATTATTTTAATCTTATCATTTATAAAGATATTTTCACACGTCGATCCATTGCCTAGGCAAGTCTTTCGTTTCCTTGATAGTAATAGCTTTTTTCATACATGCTCGCCAGTTTTTATGGCTTCTTAATTTGATTGTGAACGGTGTGCTTTCACCGGCTATCACCGGCTTCCACTTACTTCCACTTTCGCGTTTATATCAGTTTCATCTTACTTAACACAGTCATGTCCGAACCAACGGAGCATGACTTTGTTTAGGAGAAGATGGAAGGAATAGGCAAAATGAAAACCATAATAATAATTGACAAAATATATGATCTATCACAAGTGCTGCTACAGATAGAGAGATACGTACTTGAATTTGATTTACGAACGAAATTTAGTCTGATTTGTACCAGTCAGTATTAAAAGTTATCTCATTATTTAATAGAAAAATAACTGTTATAAAAACATCAGATTTCGCAGTTTAATTACTACTTATAGCTACATATCCAGATTCTATTACAAATCGAGTGTGAACAAATAAGTATTAATAAAAATTGTATAGTCTTTTTTTTTCTATTTGGTACTATAAATAAAATTAAATATAAAAATATTTAACAATCAGTACTGTAAATTAACCTTTTTTATTACAAATAAAGACATTTTTAATATTAGTTTTCATTAAATTAAATTACTAATAATTACTTAAAATTAATAAGGTACTCAAGCCAAGTACACACGGCTGCACGTCAGGTTATTAACACAGTATGTCAAATTTCTGCAAATGATTTTACTCTTTACTCTCAAAGGATCAAGTGGAGAAATTTGACAGATCATTATAACCTGACGTGATGTTGTCTGTACAATTAAATTTGTTACTATATAAAATTAAGGCTTTCTATATTCCCCTCTCTTCCTTTACCTCAATAATACACCAACTCGTCTATCACGTAATTTTTATTCTTATATCCTCATTACAAATGTCTTCATTATAATATTGTTTCAATGTCAAACAAATTCATTCAATACAACAATTATGAATGGGAAAATGTATTTATTTGTGCCTCTTTTTGGTTCCTTGTTATGGTATTATTGACAGTCTATTTTATGCCGTAAATAAATATTTAAAATAAAATGAATTTTTATTATTAATGACATTAAGGTCTTCTATATTTCAATCCATATTTTAACACTTAAAAGATTTTTTATGAAGTTCCATAAATATTTTGAAAATATTTCTTTAGCGACCAAATTCAACAATCATAATGGATGACTTTAAGTTAATAATCGTCGAGTCAAAAGTTACCAACCCTCATCAAACTTTATCAAGATTTAGCTCTAATCCAGTATTAACTTTATTGCCAATACTAATAAGCAATTGATATTTACTCTGTTGTAGACTGAAATTCACTTAACGCAATAATTATTAGCTCCTTTTAGTCAAGACGAGTAAAAGAAAAATTAGAGGATCTTAGTGTCAATCGTTTTATTTTTAACTTAATAAAGAATAGAATACCTCGAATTACGAATTTTAATATGTCGCATTTCTCTATCGAACTGCTTTTTTCGCAAACATCCGTCGTTGTAATAACGTTTCGAATGGCTGACTGGCAGAACAAAATGGCCGCGCGGATTGTCGGGCGGAAGCTGCTCTAATACGGTCCGAGCCAGGCTTATGACGCCTATAATTAACGCAACACGCTCGAAAATACTTCGCACATTAAGGCTGGATGTCTAGACACAGAGATATAGAGATGAAATCGACGAGCCCGTCAACGAGATAGATAGGAACAGAGTATGGTGTATTGCGCGTCAAAATCTGTTTTTATTGATCACTCGCAAACCATTGAGACTATTGTAAAAGCGCTTCGTAATATGTTGGCCTAAAAAGTGAGTTGCATATTTATCGATTTTCTCTTTATAAAGAGTATTAATTACGAGAGGGGTGGAGACCCTGAAATTGCAGATTATTTGTTGAATAGGCACATACACCAAAAATATTTGAACAGTCTAATGGTCTAAGGCATGATAAAAGACTTAGGTGTCTGAAACCCTGTCTGAAATAAATTATGTAAAGCATTAATTA